ATGTTTTGAGAAACGATGTACAAATGCGCTTTACACAATTGATGTGTGTATGGATTGGGATAACAGTTGTATGAGCCCCTCAATAAAATGTTAAAAAAGAAAATAAATAAAATAAATAAAAAAAGAAAATGATGGCAGCTTATGTGCAAATGTGCTTGACACACTGGATGAATGTATGGATTGTGATAAGAGATGTAAGAGCCCCCGTATATACTTGAGTATAGGCTGACCCGAATATCAGCCGAGGCACCTAATTTGCCACAAATTCTATATTAAAAATGTGCTGAAAAACTCAGCTTATACTGGAGTATATTTGGTAATTAAAAAAATACTGTATTTCCCAACAATGCTTATTAATAATATAAATTAAGATTATTTTATTGTGAATTAGGTAAAGGTTTACAGAGAATAATCTAAAATATTTAGGAGTAAATTAATTTTCATTTAATTTTAAGCATATAATGTCTACTTTTCTCAATAAAAAAAATTTTTTTTTTTTTAGGATTTGTTCATACAGATATGACGAAAGACTTGAAAGAAGAACATTTTAAAGAAAATATTCCTCTTGGGAGGTTTGGAGAACCTCTTGAAGTGGCACACGCAGTTGTGTTTCTTTTGGAATCGCCATATGTCACAGGGCATGTTCTAGTAGTAGACGGGGGATTACAGCTCATAATGTAATTTACAGATCGTTCCATAATAATGATGGTTAGAATCATGAACATAGCTTGGCAGTCATACCTACATGCATGAAAACTATTCATACTACAGATGCTCATTTTTATATATACTTGAAAAGAATAATTGCGTGAGCAATAGTGTCTTCTAAAGGAAATAGTTTATTTTTAATTATCTTACAGAATATAACAATTTTTTATATATAGCCACTTTGCAAATAATATAAGCAGGTCTTGAATATGAGAAAATTATATTGACTAATAGTCACGAATTATTTACTCAGGCTGAATTTTCTAGACATGTCATCTTTGTAAACTATTGCCAAAATAACATTTTGAGGATGTTGTCTGTTGATACTTCTAGCACCCCTGCTTTCTTGGTTATCTAGTGCTGGTGTAACAGAGATCCGAGAAGATGGCTTCCATGAGACGAGAAGTTCTAATTCAGAGCTCTAGAGGAAGGCATCCTCTCCTCTGTGGGTTCTGGAGGACAAGCCTTACGTTCACGCAGCACCAGCACTGTGCCTGGCGCCCCTTTGAGCTCTTCTAGGTGTTTTAGCATACATCTTCCTTTGGGCCTAGGAGAAAGAGCCCTGGTGGCATAGTGGCTACTCGTTGGGGCTGCTAACCATAAGGTCAGCAGCTCAAAAAGCACCAGACAGTTACATGAGGGAAAGATGAGGCTTTCTACTTCTGTAGAGTTACAGTCTCAAACCCACAGGGCAGTTCTACCCTGCCCTACAGGGTTGCTATGAATTGTAGTTGACTCGATGGCAGTGAGTTTGGTGGGTCTAGGCAGCTCTCAACACAGGGACCCTGGTTTCAAAAGAAGTGTTCTGCTCCTGATTTTTCTTTCTTGCTGAGTAGGCCCTGTTCTTTACTCTCATTTCCCTTTCCTTTTATCTCTTGTAAGATTAAACAAAGGTGTTACAGCTCACACACACACCCAGGTACAGGAGTAACATCTCACCCTAATCCCTTACAACAGATTAGATCATGTGGAATGATTATATCATTAGATAACTACCAAATTGCATTATTATATAACTGCCAAACACCGAGAGGCATGGGCCAGCCAAAGTTGACACATACTTTGAGAGACATAATTTGATCCATACTACTACTCTCTATTCACCGCCATCAACTCAATTCTGACTCATAACGGCCTGGTAGGACAGAGTAGAACTGCCTGTCTGGGTTCCTGACGTGGTAAATCTTTTTTGAAGCTTTCTGCTCCCATAAAGAGTGGCTGGTGTGTTTGAACTGTTGACCTTGTAGTTAGCAGCCCAACACAAAACCCACCTGGGCTCCTTTAAAACCACATTGACTGCCATTGAATCCATTATGACTCAGTAACTTAAATTCAATCTACAATACTCACTAAAGTTAAACATTGGAAGCAAAAATATACCTCATTTGATCAATTTTTATATAGGTTGGAAAAAAACAGTATTGGTTATAGAAAGTCATGAACTGATGTCTGATGTCTTCAACTGGTGTTACTCGTGATTAAGTAGATGGGCAAATGAATCTGCAAATTTAACTGTGGTATGGTAGATCCGTTATATAGAAATCCCCAAATGTGGCAAGATTGTGAAGACACTCCAGCATTCCAGTGGCTTGACATGACAGGAGGAGAGGTTTCTGCCACAGATTCAGAATGGGCTGCATTTTACTGTTCAAAGGTCTGAAAGGTCACCATACTATCTCAGGAGGCTTGCAGGTGCCCAGCCCCCCCATCCTGGAATGCTTACTCAGCCTGGCCCCCAAGATATTTTGTAAATGTCAACCAGTTAGAATTTCTGTATTTCAACCCTACAAACAATTCCTTTTACATGAGGCCTTAGTTTTAATTTGAATAAGTTGAAAATTTTTTATTTCTTCAGTAACACTCTTGAATTTTAACAGGATTTGCCCTTTTATTGTTTTAAATATTTGTTCTACTAAAGCACTGCATGGCTGTTGTTTGGTGCTATGCAGTCGGTTCAGACTCAGAGACCCTGTGTACAACAAAATCAAACACTGAAACATCCTAACCATTGTTGCAATGTTTGTGCCCTTTGCTGCATTTCGTGTTAGTTTATCTCATTGAAGATCTTCCTCTTTGTTGTGGACCCTTTTCTTCATGATGTCCATGAGGATGTAATCAATACAATCCAGCCTGTACTACAGACACTCTACAGGTCAAACAACCTGAGTTCCTGGACAGAGAGCATTACAATGAAAAGGAACGAGGGTGAACCTGTACACTGAGATTCTCAAAACAAACTAAGCTTAAAAACCGGGGCAAGATTAAACTATAACCAAACTCACTGCTATGGAATCAAAGTCTACCCTCTGGGACAAAGCAGAATTGGCTCCGCCCCATAGGATTTCTGAGACTGTCTTTTTTTTTCCTTTTAATCATTTTAATGGGGCTCGTACAACTCTTATCACAATCCACACACCCATTGTGTCAAGCACATTTGTACATTTGTTGCTATCATCATTCTTAAAACATTTGCTTTCTAGTTGAGCCCTTGGTATCAGCTCATTTTTCCCCTCCCTCCATGAACCCTTGATAATTTATAAATTATTTTGTCATCTTAAACTGTCCGACATCTCCCTTCACCCACTTTTCTGTTGTCCATCCCCCAGGGAGGAGGTTATATGTAGATCGTTGTAATCATTTGCCCCTGTTCATCCCACCCTCCCAGTATCGCCACTC